ATACTTTAAGCCATTCTTTGAGCTATACTTTAAGCCATAAATTTAGTCATATATCGTGCCATACTTTTGTAGCCGTAGTTTGAGCCATACTTTAAGCCATACTTTGAGCTATACAGTAAACCATACTTCGTGCCATACTTTCACCCATATAGGTACGTAAATGATTGCAGGTAGCTTGAAATCATAACAGTTAACAATGAGTAAATAAATAAATCGTTGTATTTATAGTTAATTAAGTAAATCAGGATATGTAGAGTTTAAAAAATGTATAACGATATAAAAATATAAGAATGTATGTATAAAAACTGTGTAAATAGGACGACGTAATTAAAAACCTTACATTTAGACTGAAGCTTGGTTTCAACTTGGTCTGCTGCTCGCGACACAGGCAGATGAACAGACTGCACCTCACTAATTGATAGTGTACTGCCACGCGATAGAAGATATGTGTGAATAAACAAAATGACCATTTGACTTTGCACCCCCCCTTCTGCCACTACCCAATCATTATGAATAAGTTTTCAGGGCGATTATCAGCGATTGAAATTATTCACCTTCAAAATAAGACGATTTTTCAAACGGTCGTTCGGCAGTTACAAGATATAAATATAAAAAAAAACAAATGACAAAGTATGAAGTCCAAGGTCCACTCCGAGTTAACATATATTTATTCATAGAATCATACAAAAATTCTGTCAACAAAACATTATTCCTGTGAGAAAAAAATTCGTACACTTTCTGCAATAACGTTATAAATAACGATTTGGTTATAATAACAGTTACAAAAAAGCGCATAATTTATTTATTTTTTTATCTACTGTGTTCCAAGTACGACACAATGTGTTTCTAAGCGTTTGTCTTAAATTATGGCTCAAAGTAAAGCACAAAGTATGGCTCAAGGTATGGCTCCATGTGTCGCTGAATTTACGGATCAATGTATGGCTTAAAGTATGGCTTAATGTCTGGCTACATGACTGGCATATTGTCTAGCTAAATATATGGACTTATACAGTAAGATACAGTAAGTATACAGAACTGTATGATCTTTTTTTACCTAAACTTTATCGATACAGTGAATTGGAAAAATGATTGTTCTCATTTAATAGTGAATAAATTTTATAAATCAAGATGCTGGACCTCGGACTTCGAATTTTGTCATTTGTTTTTTTTTACAGGTTAAGAACACAGTAAAATTGTACCTCATGATCATATAATTATTTTTCGTAACCAAGGGAAACTTTCCGTGCTAATTAATCTTGGAAGAGATGAGCCGCTGAAAAATCTAAGGACCGTCTTTTTAGTTTCAAGCTAGTGCTGAAACGAATTAAAAAGTAAAAAAAAAAAATTATGAGTTGGTTGGCCCAGGAAGGAAGTGTAGTTTAGGTTTCAAATGAAAAACAAAAATTATATTTAAAGTAAAATGATCTATTAATGAAAAGTATTTTTTTAAAAAGTTATAGGACATAATTTCAAATTGACCACGAAAATTACAAAAAAACTGATTTTTCAGTCTGTCTTTTCGCATAAGAATAATTTAAGTAACGTAAAAATTTCTGAAAATTTACATTTGATGCCTTAAATTAGCATAATCTTTATTTTTTTTTTTTCTTTTTTGAAAAATGTATGGTCCCACGTACTAACATTTTTAAAAAAGCTATCCTTGTTTTGCATGAAAATCTTTATTCATTTTTTTTCGTGTTCTAATGTTTAGTATGTGCTTATTGACAATATAGAAATATATAGTTTTCAATGATCTATACATAATAACAGCTTATTTTTTATTAAACTGCCTGAAATCTAGACCAACGGAAAGCATGTCGGGTCATTTTAA